ATTCAGCTTCTCTCTGTACTGCCTCTTGGCCGCTGTGATGGCTTCTCTCAGTCTGTACTTTGCAGCTTTGTACTCCATCTCATCGCCTGATCTGAATGCATGAGAGCGAGCATGCAAGCATGTGGCATACCTGTCCAGGGCTTCTGGTTGGGAAACCTCCTGACTTGTATGGTGGGCACGATGTTGTCAATACAGGTACTAATGTATCTGGTCACATACTCAGCATAATCCTGTACGCTGACAGAAAAGTCCTCTGAGGTGGCTGCAGCTTTAAACACATCTCAGTCTGTCTGGGCGAAACAGTCCTGCAGGATGCCTTCAGTCTCTAGGGTCCGGAGTTTAATTTGTTTGGTGACAGGGTTTGTTTGTTTCAGTCTTTGTCTGTAAGCTGGATACAGGAACAAAGAAATGTGGTATGAGCGTCCAAGGAGGGGGGTGGGGATGCGGCCCTGTATGCACTATGTATGTTACTGTAAACATGATCCAGAGTGTTCTTACCCCGAGTGGGAATGTTCACATGTTGATAATATTTGGGGAGTACAGTCTTTAAATTGCACTGGTTAAAGTTGCCTGCAGCAATAAATACAGCATCGGGGTGCACTGTCTCTAGCGCGTTGATGACATCATAGAGTTTGCTGAGAGCCGCAGAGGGATTAGCTCTTGAGCTAACATACTGTGATGACTGATGCCAGCCAGTGGGAGGGTTAGTGGCAGTGGCAAGCATTATGGGAATATGTAAATAGTTAAGCGTAACAGTGTGGTATAATGCTGAGTTATTGTGTTTTACTGTTCTTGTTATTGTTGTATTTTGAGGGGTTAAAAACGACTTTTGGGTTCATGCTGTGTGTAGTGGGTTGCATCGAGCACTCGGTGCTCAAACCTGTTGACTGCTGTTCAGTTGGAAGTGATTCGCTGTATTATGCCTGTATGTGTTGTTCTGTGGTTGCCGGTAACGAAGAGAGTAAAAAGAAAACAGAGCTGGCTGGCTGTTGCAATCTTTGAGCCATGAATTACGCTACTGCAGAGCATTTCAGGGTGAGGGTGCACACCGTGCCAGTGATATAGGGGGGAGACGTTATTCTCGAGGGATTGTTAAAGCTGTGTGGCGCACGGAGCCCGGTCGTAACAGTGCTAATATTACGTAAGTGCTAGCACCCTGCTAGCTAGTTAGCTGCACAGTTAGCAGTAGCTCTTCTCCTCCATGCTGGGGGTCGCTACAATACACAGCAGCTAGAAACACAGCACTATGCTCTCTGGCTAGATAGTAGGGCTGGCATTTCAGCAATAAAAACTTTACGTCTGGCGAACAGTGCTTATAAACAGTCCGAACATCTCCACACCATGAGTTATTAATGAACACACACACACCACCTCCTTTTACCTTCCCCGAAGCATGTGTTCCTTCCCCGGACCAGGCCGTCCCCGGCCCCTCGGCAGCTGATACCGGGGCTACCGGCGACTCCACCCCTGCTTACGTAGGAGCACGCTCCCGGCGGCGAGGCACACCTGCACTCAATTAGCAGAACCATACTTAAGCACAGCGCTGGTGTGTCCTCGTCGCCAGATGATCTCTCAGTCTTCTGCCGGCGACTTCGCGTGTTTCACGTCCTGGATCCTGATGTCCACTAATATCGACCTCCTCTGGTATATTGATGTTATCCACTGTGTCGACCTGAGTGAGTTTCTCTGTCTTGTTTATGTTTTTTCTGAACTGATTACCGAGGAGTATCTTATGTTTTTTTGGAACTGACTACTGAGGAGATCTTATGTTTTTTCTGAACTAATTACCTAGGAGTATCTTCTGTTATTTTGAACTGACTACTGAGGAGTATCTTATGTTTTTTCTAAACTGATTACGGAGGAGTGCTTTATGTTTTATTTTTGAACTTTTGCCTGGTGCCACCTATATCTCCGTGGGCCTTGCTGCCAATCCACGATCGTTGTTTGGGGTCCGTGTCAAGTGCCTGGGCCCGCTAAGCGTGGGCGCTTGCTCCTGTCTGCATACCTCAGTGCTGGGATCCAAGCACGCTCTCCTGCCTGCAGCCAGCATTTCCCTATACGCAGGTCACCTGTGTTCCCCCCCCTCCGCCCCCGGGCTGCTCCCCCAGTGGTCCAGTCATTTCAGCGGCCCCAACCGCCCGAGACCCACACCGGCAGCTCCGCGTCTGATCCTCGCCACCTCCTTGTCTTTCCATACTCTGTCAAATAAATATCTTTCTCTGACCTGGGTTTGAGTCCTGCCTATTCATGAGTCCAGTCGCTCTGTTGGTGTGCGGCTTGCTGTAACAGAGTGAGTCTCTAGCTGAATCACGGAGGTGTTGAAGGTTATGTTATTAAACATTTCTATTCTATCTTTGTTACAATCTATAAAAATGAACAAAGCAAACATCATGTGAATTTCATGGTGCCAGAAACAGTGTCGAGTGAATAATGATAATTAATATAAGGCTACTGGACAAAAGTTAAATTTTATATAAACACATGGAACTTTTACCATTTTATCTGCTTGGGGTAACGTTTTAAGTGCTGTTTCATATACAGCAACTGTAAGATGGTTGCACATAAACAACCCTTCAGAGAGCAAATAGAGTATTGTATTATTATAGATGGATTAAATAATGTACTTGTTGTACTTTTTGTTTGGCACAAAAAAAATAAATGTTCCAACTTTTCAACTTTGTTTTTTAAAATGTTATCACTAATTTTTTTGTTAATAATTCAAATAAACCGTTTTATATTGCAATATCTACTTTTCACTACACTGCTGTAGAGCAACAATAAAGCTACAGTGTATTTACATATTTAATTTCTAAAATATATTTTAAGCTTTCTTATTTATTATTTAAAATTATTTTTACTTACTTAGTCTTGCCTTTTTAATTATAAATTTTCAGTTATATCATTTCCCCCCCCCCAAATTTGTGAACAAAGTAATATATTTGGCAGCAAAATATGGAATTTATTTTAGCCTGGGATTGTCAGGGGTTACAGTTTAAGACTATATAATAACATATGCATACTACCAAGCACACATTTATTGCTGAGGAAAAAATATGTTAATAAGTGTATATAATAAAGTATCTATCTATGTGAATAATTGTATTCAAAAAAGGTTTATACAGCCTACATTGCGCTGCAGTTCTCATCGCAGTACAGTATACAGCATTTTCATAATTCCGATATTTACGAGGAGCACCTAAAGGGGCGTCCGGATGAATGGTCCGTTTAGGAACGCCCCCATCTCCATCTGCGAGCCAATGAAATCCGTCCTTGGAACACGCGTTTCTACGAAACTGCGAACTTAGTCCCAGTTTTTTGGTCGTTGCATTAGATAAATTAGTGACCATGGCTATCCGTGTATTGGAAATAATATTTTTCTTCTATTTTGCATCTCACATTCCTATCACGTTATTTATTGACTTACAAGTCCTGCTCCCTGGACATGTGTATCCCCAGCCGGTAAGTGCAAATAGCCTAAAAGTTAAAAAAAACAAAACAAACAAAAAAAAAAAAAAGCAAGCAAAACAAAGCCTGCCGCTCTGTGGCTATAAAACAATTCTTACAGTACTTTGGATCTCTCTTTCCTCCAGCTTAAAGATCTTCTGAAGTGGTATGCAGAGGAGTTTAAAGACCCTATGGTGCTAGATCCCCCAGAGTGGTTCAAGTCTTTTATTTTCTGCGAGGCTGTGTTTCAAGTGCCTTTCTTTCCCATAGCAGCGTATGCTTTCCTTAAAGGTCAGTTAACACAAACTGTGATTTGTTCTGTGCAGTGTGGTTGCTTTTGCTGCTTACAGGGTCTGTTGGTATGACTGTGCCTAAAAATATGTCTAATTAATAATGTTGCATTGTTCAGGCGCGCATATGAATTCGAATGGCTTTTTGGCGTTATGTACGAGCAGTAGGTGAAACCCAATCTAACTGGTTAATAACAATGTTACCCCATTACCCCACCCTTGCGCAGTATCTACTAGATGTTGAGCTATTAAGACAAAGAAGAAATTGATTTAGTCTATGACAACGTATTGGTGAACAACAGAAAGACCTATGGAACTGAACGATTAGGTTATCTGGCCGTTAAACAAGTCCGCAGCAAATTGACAGTTTTTCAAATGGAGTTTGGCCTGTGCATGCACCGGAGACGGAAGGCACGCGGGTTATCGGCTACTGGGGCATAAGGTAACTCAAGCTGACGTCTCTTGAATTATTACAGTATAAATGGAAACTGATATGATTTGAGTATTTAAACCACATACTTTATAAATACAGTCAATGATTTAAATAAAATGACCATTCAGACCGCGGTTAAGTAAAAACACGGTCAAGCAAGTCATCTGTTCTTTTTGCACAATTACGGTAGCGGAGCTTGACTCGGCCAAAATGGTTGTTTAAAGACTGGGTGCAAATTTACTCAACAAAGTGAATTAAATTTAACATCTCACATACTAAATGAAACTATATTATTTCACATCCTAATGTGTGTGTATTTAACATTAGAGTTTTTGAAAATTGAAGCGAACTCCTATAGGACGTATAGGAGGATTTGAGTACTTTGAAATAGGTCTCACAAAATGTAAAATGATTTTAGATGAATTCACCCACTGTAAATAGTGGTGGAGATCCTCCATCATTTTAAACAGCTTTTTTAAAGTTTTGGTTTTATTGGTAGAGATTTGTGCTGCTACACACACACACACAAGTCAGCATCTCAATTCTTTCACAAGATATTGCCATCCTATTTAATATAATTCAAAAACTTCTTTTTTAGCTTTTATTGGAACTTCTACCAAAGACGTGTTCTGCAACCCTGGAGCCTCTTTTCATCAAAGTGTGTTTCTTGTCTTTCAGGCAGCTGTAAATGGATCCAGATTCCTGCCATCATGTACTCTACACATGTGGCCACCACACTGGTCCCAATCCTAGCCCACATACTTTTCTATCAGTTCCCTATGAAACCCCACCCTGGACCCCAGACCCTGCTGGAGCGCTGGCAGCTAGTCTCCATATACATTCCATACCTACTAGTGCCTGTGCTGCTGCTCCTCACCATGGTGCTCTCCTCGACATACAGCTTCACCTCTAAGTCTGAACATACATCAGCCAAGACCAAGAAGATGAGCTGAAACATTACTTCTTTGCAGCTGTCTATTACACTCTCCAGAAAATATTTTTCTGCATTTCAGAATGTACAGTTTCTATGTGCACTGTATACATCTGAGAGACTGAGTCAGACTGCATAAGGAAGAAACTGCCACCATTAAACAGCCAGAATGAGCACTGTTAATGTTAATCTTTATAGGTAATCACTTGTTTGTTGAATCTGTTTTCCATTTACATCAGTATCAAAGAAAAATGAATACATTTATAAAGGAGTCTAGGAAATTAATAGTAAATCAAAGGGCTGTGTGTGCCACATTGGCCATTGGGCCCTGGTGGTGAATCGGTGTGAGTAACCACATGATGAGCCTATTCATATTTATGTATTTAGGTCTTACCTGAGAAAGACAATAAATCTGGTCTCAACAGAACTGTAATGTTATTCTGCATACTATTTAATCAAAATTCCTCTGAAGGAAAAAATAAAATAGCTGTTTATTGCATTTTTTACACCTTAAATGTTATATTGCTTTTGGCAAATTAAGTTGTCCTTATGCAACATGTATAACGAATAGCTTTGCAGTTGTTGTAGAGTTACCTTGTATTGTTAATTGAGGTTAACTCTTTATCTGCCACAGTAAGACTGATGGAAAATACAAAAATGTGAGAAATGTGAGAATATATATATGCAATATATGTCCCTTTCTAGACATGCGCAATAATAATACATAATAATACAGAAATGTTCCACAAGGTATTTTTGTAAGAGCATCTCATCAACAGTGTTCACTTGGGGGACCTGAGTAATAGCAGGACATTCTCTACCAAGCAATGGAAACAGGCCTGAATATAAACTGTATTTTAGTATGTTACTGTATAACCCCCTCACTACCTCACCAAGCGTAATGACATATCCAACTCCACCATGTGAATTACTAAGATTACCAAGTTCACTGTGGGAAAGTACTCTCTCTATTCAGTAACAAATGGCAGGCAGAGTCAGGGGCCAAGTGGCCAACACAGTAGAACATTTAGCCACTAAAGAATCATATATTTGCATCAGGAGTTGGTGGAGACCAAAACAAAACTAAAAGGCAAGTGAATGTTGAACTCACTACATGGGCAGCAACATGACTCTAAATGAAAACAAGTGTAGGCTGAAAATTTTTAGTTGATTTTTTTAAAATTTAAAATATAAATACTGTCCTCCATGGTCCTCTCTGGTCCAATCGTTCAAGACAGCGCCCTAGAAAGGGGAAGAAATCCTATACAGCCTAAATTCCTACATACACACTCACTTCTTCCTTTGTTTCCAACTAACGGATCCATATTAGGCATTGCTTTCCATTTCACTAATTAGAACTGTCCTGCCGGTGTGTGTGTGGGTGCATAATGCTCCTACCATTTAAGCGTTCTCCTCCGCAAGCCTCCAGATCTAATCTCTGTCTCACTAACCTTGGAGTCCCAGTGACCTGCAACTCCCCTGGCTCCACTAGCCCAGTGGTGATAATAAATTCACTGTGGACTCTCCTAGCCAGAGCTGTAAATCTAATGAGATTCAGTAATTTAGTGGACAAGAACAACTGTTAATATGTTACGTTAACATACCGCCTATTCACGTTACGTTAACAGACGCATATTCAGCCTGTTGTTCTCCATTTTATTGTTATTAAGATAACTTGCCATTCAAGATGAAATGTATGTTCTTGGTCTCTGATTTTATGAAATAAATTTCCCCCAAAAAGTGCGACTTATAGTCCAGTGCGACTTATATATGTTTTTTTCTTTTTCATTATGCATTTTTTGGCTGGTGCGACGTATACTCAGGAGCGACTTATAGTCCAGAAAATACGGTATTGCCCTATTTTTGTGTACTGCGGTTTTAATGCTTTGTTGCCTTTATGTAACTTTTTATTTTAAGACTAAGTGTTCTTTCTGGCTTTTGACTCCTTACCTGACTCCAAAGGAGAGCGGAACAAGAATTCCTATATGCCTAAGCTGTCTGTTTATGCATAAATGGCAAAAAGAAATCTTGACATGACTTGGGGGGTGCTCCGGGAGTATGGTGTTGGACTTAACCGTCCTGCATGTTCGTTTCTGAGGAAGAGTCAAAGTCAGAACAACCTTTAAGATATTTATTACAATGTCAAGGAAAAGCAATTACAGAGTGCTCTGGGTTTCTCTCTACCTGAAGCCCTGATCCTAAACAGCAAAACCGTTGAACTCGTCTTCAGGACAAGGGGAACGCCTACCCTCCTGGAACCCAATCTTTTATTCAATTTTGAAATGTGCAATGTGGGTTGATCTGGTGCCTCTCGTGCTGTTCCATTGGTCCTTCAGTC